GGGGGCGGCAGCGGCGCGTCTGGCGGCGGCGCTGCGGCAGCGGCTGCGGGGCTGGGAGGCGGCGCTGGCGACGGCGCAGCGGCTGCTGGTGTGGGAGAGGCCGCTGCACAGCCTGGTCACCGCGGCCGCGCTCGGCGGGGCCCTCTGGTGAGCTGGGGCGGGAAGGGGGACCGGGAGCCGTCGGTGCCGCCCGTCCGGTCCGTGCCCGGGTGCCGGCGGTGTGCGTGCCCGCAGCGCCGTGGGGTATGCACAGCCGGGAGTAGCCGCGCTGTTTTCCTCTGACAGGCATAAACAGGCCCCTCCCTGAAGGGAGAAAGTGCCAGGAGGATTTGCCTTGTCCCGCGATAATAAAATGCAGATGGGCCCAACTGGAGCCTCGCCCGGGCACGCTTCTGCTTAATTCTTGCATCCGTGTTTTTATCAGTTCGTTTCACTCGGTAACTGCGGTCGGGGAGCTCCGCGGCCTCCCCCATCGGCAGCTGCCCTGGGGCGTTTTATTTAAACCCTTCTGCTCGGTAATCTTTCCCGGGAGGTGCTGATTTTTCGCTCGGCTCTGGCGTGAGAGCATTCCCCCTTTCCTGTTTTCCCTTCCCTGCCTCTTCGCAGGGCAGCAGCCTGAGGAGATGGGAGTGTGAGTGGCAGAGCCCAGCTGTGGATGGGAATGAAAAACATCCTGTTTGTTTGTATAAACAGTGAGTCAGTTTTACTGATGAAAATGCTCTCAGCCAGTGGCCTTCCCAGCAGAAAAGGTCAGAAGTGGCCAGGGATAGAGTTAAATATTGGTTACAGATGAAATAGGAAGGGGCAGATTCTGGAGTTAGAGGAGGGGAAAATAAGTGACGAAACAGCCTTTGAAGTCTCTGATGAGGCAGCTCATGTTCTGTTCCCTCATCCATACGATTATCAGAAGCGTACGTGGTAGCCAGACATAAACTCTTGGGCTACTCCACGAGCTGAAAAGTGTCAGAGCAGAGCTATGAAGTGAGGAGGGGGAGAGGTGCAGGTGGCAGGGGAGATGACAGGGATCGTAGACAATGGCAGCCTGTGTGAAAAGTTAGAGAAGAACAAAGAGTGCCCAAAATATGGGGCAGCAGAGAGAGATTGAAATAGAGGAGGAAAAATCGTTTAGGGTCTCATGGAGTATTCAGCCAGCATCTTTAAACTGTAATACATAAATGAGATGGAATAGGAAATTCTTCCAGAGATGATGTGTTAAGCTACAGAATTGCTGTTCAGTGAGGAGGAGTACAAATGTCATTGTTTAGGTCATTAAAGGTCTTGTAAACCCATGGAAAGTGCAGCTTTTGTTCTGTGTGTGCCCAGTGAGGCATATTTCACTTCCAGTTCTCCACCTGTGACTTGGTGGGAACCCCTCCCAGCTCTGCACTGAGATTCTCCCTCACTACAGTCATTATTCTGTGCATTTGTCATTAGTTACTGGCAAACACTCACTGAAGAGGAGCAGGGTAAAAAAGCAAAACTGCTCCTCCTTTCTGGAAAGGAATATTCATTAAAGAGGTGAAGATGAATGCATTTCCCTGGTTTTGGTTTTTGGGTTTTTTTGGTTTTTTTTCTTTTTTCTGGAGTGACTTAAAAGCAGCTCCTCTGAACTAGAGAAAATTATGAATGCAGAGAGGCACTGCTGGCACAGGTGGCACCCTGGCACCTTTGCTGTCAAATCTCTGTGGAGTGGACAGATAAACTCTTTGAGTGGCGTTGCACAGCTGTGTGTGGGTAGCATTGTGTGAGCTGGCAAGAGGCTTGAGCCAGTGTGTGCATGTGGGACGTGAAAAGTTTTGTGATAAAGTCAAGTGAGCAGCTAAACCATTTAAGTGCTAGCTAGGCTCTGGTCAGACAGGGAGAGGTTTGTGATAAGAGAATGGGTATCTAGAATGGCAAGATGCATTACCTGCATGTAATGCTGGACCTTGCCACAAATGGGATGGAGGTTTTCAGCAAACAGGCTGAGTGGCAAAGTTTTCTGTTACAGCAGTTTGTCTTTATGTTATCTAGAACCTCCACCTTGAGGCTTTGGAGGGACTTGTACAAGTGAGCATCAGCTCTGTTTTGCAGCCTAGGGAGGAGCTCAGAAGCAGGGAAGGAGAGCGCTGGACCATGGCAGGGAGTCAGCTGTCTGGTGGTGGGCAAAGGCACCATTTGAGAATGTGCTGTGGTGTGGGTGGGTGTCTGCAGAGTACAGTGCTTGCTACAGTGGTCCACAGCAGTTGGGCACTTCTGCTTTGAGCTGTATCTATTGCTCACCAAGAGCAGTAATTTGCTGCCTTTTGCCTGTCTAACAATTTCTATTTCATTTCTAGGTTGTTTTCCTCCACCTCCCTGAGACCCCTCTTTCTCCTCAGCATGTCCCTTCTTGGCATCCTCTTGTTGGAGAAGTGGAAACCCAGGTTCCTGTTTGATTTCTCAGGTATGTGATGATTAGCACTGTAGATAGTGACATGGTTCTAGTGTTACCTGCTGCTGGGCTATGGCTTTGGCCCTTCCTGGGCTCTCTCAGCAAGAGAGAGTCTTGTAAGCCCCATTCCTACTTTAACTGCAGGCCCGGGTACTGGTGCTGCTTCTTATATTTTTGTGTCAGAGGATTAGGATGTATCCTAATACTCTGGACATGTATCCTAGTACTCTGGGTATGGAGAGTTGCTCCCAGTGCTGAGAAATTCTGGGAGTGGCTAATATTGAGAGTGACTAAGGGGCCCAGCTATCTTGCCAGGGAAGCTAATGACAGGGATGATGTGTTTCTGCTGTGTCCTTTCTCTCCTGAAAATGTGGCAAAAATATCATGTCAAGTCTGAGCACTTAGGGCCAGCTGAGCTGAGGGAAGGAAAGGAGGAGAGGGAAGTGTATTGGTTTTAGTTAAGTTCAGTGTGGGCTTACACCCTGAAAGAAGCAGAGCAAATGAGAGCCACTTCTTGTGGCAGGTAGCAGAGTGGACGATGAAGTCTGACAGCAGCAACAGTTAGTGTATTGTGCCTGTACTGAACAGCAACTGATCTCCAGCTAATCAGTGAGTCTGATTACCTGTCTTATCTTTCCCTTTTATTGAAGGGTCTGTGCCAACATTAGACACAAAAGCAGCAAGAGGAATGGCCTCATAAAGGTGGTAGACATGGATTGGCTGCTGTCTGCTTTGAGTGCCTCCTTCCTTGGAGTTTATTAAATCATGGAACCCAGACCTGCCTACTGCATCTACTGCTGCAGTTCAAAGGCAGCTCAGGGCCCTCCATCCCTGCCTCTCTACTCTAGGGAGAGTTTCTGAATGAAAGCCCCTCTATATGTGTATGTAAGGTGCCCTTTATTTGACCTAAAAAGGTACTGACTTAAAGGGTGCTTTCACAGAAATCCTGATAAGATTAGGTATGTTACAGCTGTAGTCTTGAAACTGTTTGCTTTGTGTGGTTCAGGTAACCCAGCAGTTAAACTGGACTGGCCAATTTAATTTCCTGCTTATTCACATTGTTTTTTTAAGGCAATAGTTTAAAGCCAATCCAAACCACCTCACTTGAAATGTGTCCAGAAATGCAAAAGCCTGGTGTCCAGTACAGAATGGTGTCATTGAGGCAGGTGGGGGTGGAATCATTCCAGCAAGCACTTGGCTGTAAAAGTTGTGTTGTCATAGAAGAAATAGGAAATTCATACTGAAATCAATTTATATGATGCAGAGCCATGAAGAATAGAAAAGCAAACAAAACAGCAACACCAGAGATTAGGCTCATCCTATGCTAACAGCTCTGCTAGAAGTCAGTGCACATCCCATTGCACCTCTCTTCAGTGTTCTTCACATATTTCACACCTTCCTGCTTTTCTGCTGCAGAAAACAGGGACACCTTTCTGATGTGCCTGTTTAGGTCACAGCCCTGATTTTGACATGATCCACTGGACTGTGTTTCCTTTGCTTCTGCAAGGAAGGAGTGGTGCTCTGCATTCCTGAGGGGCCTCCCATTCAGTTGGTACTCCTGAACACTTAGGGGTTCTTGTTTGGCTCCCACTTCCTGCTGAAGCAGAGCTGCACCTTTGTGGCTTACCTCCTTAGTGCTTCCTGTTAGTCTTTTCTGGAGTTCTGGGAGATGGGTCAGTACCATACCTTCAGGAGTCAGCACGTACATATAAACCTCAGCTTGTGACAGTTGTGTGTGTCTCAGATGACTGCTTATAAGATGACTTCTGAAGGAATGCTAAAACCTCAGCATGTATTTTGCAGTTACTCACACACTGTGATTAGGGTCACTCTAACAGCATCAATATGCGCAAATTTTTTAGGCCTTTTCAGAAGGGACTGCATATTTTCAGCTCCCATACAGGATATTTCCTCAATATCTACATGGAATTCTACTTAGATGCTATTTAAGGACTTAGGAAGCATCTCCAGTTTCACCTGAAATGGGTATCAGGTAGGGATGTTTTGGTAGCATCACTGTTTGGCAGCTGAGTTTTGGTCAGTGTAGGAGAGTGTAGTGTGGAAGAGCTCTAGCAGAAGTTGTGCTGCAATTGAATGCTAGTACTCCTTAAAAAGGGCCCCTGCTTTCTAGCTGAAGTTTATACACAGATGAAGAATGTCTTTTGGAGAAGCATTGAAAACCTGTAAGAGCCAAGGAATCCGTCAGCAATAATTTGTCAGTACCAACATGTAACCTAAACTCCTGCATGGCTGTCTGATCTCTCAGAAGAGTCTGGTATATGTCAAGTGATTTGTATTAATCCACAGTCCAGTGTGAAACACTGACAGAAAGATTTCAGCCAGTTATTGATAATCTGAAGTCAGCTCTGGATGTCCTGCTTGCCAACTTAGTTATACTGGTGCTTGACACTATTTCAGCACAGGTTGGAGTTAAGGCTTAACTCCAAGGGAAACATTTCCTGTTGGAAATGCTCTAGGTTT